CAGCCTCCTGAGTAGCTGGGATTACAATGTGCACCACCACGCCCAGCTAATTTTTGTATTTTTAGTAGGGACAGGGCTTCAATATGTTGGCCAGGCTAGTCTCAAACTCCTGACCTCAGGTGACCCACCTGCCTTGGCCTCCCAAAATGCTGGGATTACAGGCATTAGCCACTCAATCCGCCTTTTTTTTTTTTTTTTTGAGATGGAGTCTCGCTCTGTTGCCCACGCTGGAGTGCAGTGGCACAATCTCAGCTCACTGCAACCTCCACCTCCTGGGTTCAAGCGATTCTCCTGCCTCAGCCTCCTGAGCAGCTAGGATTACAGTCATACACCACTGTGCCAAGCTAATTTTTTTTTTTTTTTAAAGTCACTCTCTGTCACCCAGGCTGGAGTGCAATGGCATGTCTCGGCTCACTGCAACCTCCGCCTCCCAGGTTCAAGCGATTCCCCTGCCTCAGCCTCCCGAGTAGCTGGGATTACAGGTGCCTGCCGCCATGCCAGGCTAATTTTTGTTTTGTTTTGTTTTGTTTTTTGAGATGGAGTTTTGCTCTTGTTGCCCAGGCTGGAGTGCAATGGCATGATCTCGGCTCACTGCAACCTCCACCTCCCATGCTCAAGCGATTCTCCTGCCTCCCAAGTATCTGAGATTACAGACATGGGCCACCACACCCGGCTAAATTTGTATTTTTAGTAGAGACGGGGGTTTCTCCATGTTGGCCAGGCTGGTCTCGAACTCCTAACCTCAGGTGATCCGCCCATCTCGGCCTCCCAAAGTGCTTGGATTACAGGCGTAAGCCACTGCACCCAGCCCTAATTTTTGTATTTTTAGTATAGAATGGAGTTTCACCATGTTTCCCAGGGTGGTCTTAAACTCCTGACCTCAGGTGATCTGCCCACCTTGGCCTCCCAAAGTGCTGAGATTACAGGCATGGGCCACCACACCAGGCCCAAATTTTTTTTTTTTTTTTTACTTTTTTAAAATTTGAGACAGAGTCTCACTTTGTTGCCCAGGCTGGAGTGTAGTAGCGCAATCTAATCTCACTGCAACCTCCACCTCCCACGTTCAACACCTCCTGGGTTCAAGTGATTCTCCTGCCTCAGCCTCCCGAGTAGCTGGAATTACAGGCACGCACCACCACACCCAGCTAATGTTGGTATTTTTAGAGATGAGGTCTGACCGTATTGACCAGGCTGGTCTCGAACTCCTGACCTCAAGTGATCTGCCTGCCACGGCCTCCCAAAGTGCTGGGATTACAAGCATAAGCCACTGTGCCCGGCCTTAAAAAAAAAAAAAGAAAAGAAAAAAAAGAAGAAAATTTTAATTACCTGGGCACGGTGGTGTGTGCCTGTAGTTCCAGCTACTTTGGAGGCTGAGGTGAAAGGATGGCTTGAGCTATCATTGCTCCACTGCACTCCAGCCTGGGTAACAGAGCAAGACCCCCCCCAAAAAATCTATTTGCTGTGTAAAAATAAATAGCGTTTAAGTAAAAATATGAAAGATTTGCGATTCTCAGTTTCTTTGTGCTGCTGAGCTTGTATAGGATTAACTCAGGAGTTGGAGGCAGCTATATTCTACGTCAGTCCAGGGTAGCAGAGGAAGCTGCTCTAGGGAGAAGAAACAGGAAGAAAAGAGATATTGGAGAGATGGAGAGAAAATGATGTCTGGGCTCTCAACAACTTGTTTCTGGTCTTTCCTGGGCCAGCTACATCTCTCTCCTTGGTTTCTTCAAAACATCCCTATTTTCTTACAATAAATCTCTCCTTTTTTGGCCTAAGCTAACTTGAGTTGTTTCTTGATAGTTGCATCCAGAGAAATCTAACTATCATAGCAGGTTTTCCTTTTTGTTTTTGTTTGTTTGTTTGTTTGTGACAGGGTCTCACTCTGTCACCTAGGCTGGAATGCAGTGGCGTGATCTCGGCTCACTGCAACCTCCCCCATCTGGGTCAAGCGATTCTCTTGCGTCAGCCTCCCAAGTAGTTGGGATTACAGGCATGCACCATCATGCTCGGCTAATTTTTGTATTTTTAGTGGAGATGGGTTTTTGACATGTTGGCTAGGCTGGTCTTGAACTCCTGGCCTCAACTGATCTGCGTGCCTTGGCCTCCCAAAGTGCTAGGATTACAGGCGTGAGCCACTGTGGGTGACCTCATAGTAGTTTTTCTGTAAATGCTTGTTAAAGGGAAATGTAAAGTTCTTTGTAATGAAATTATTTAGGTTCTCAAAATTTGATTGTACTTAAAAAAAAAAAAAAAAAAAAACCTCCTAAATTGAGGGAGGCCAGCTCCAGAGGTGTTGTTAAAGACATTCACCCTAGGCCGGGCACGGTGGCTCAAGCCTGTAATCCCAGCACTTTGGGAGGCCGAGACGGGCGGATCACGAGGTCAGGAGATCGAGACCATCCTGGCTAACACGGTGAAACCCCGTCTCTCCTAAAAAATACAAAAAAAAAACTAGCCGGGCGAGGTGGCAGGTGCCTGTAGTCCCAGCTACTCGGGAGGCTGAGGCAGGAGAATGGCGTGAACCCAGGAGGCGGAGCTTGCAGTGAGCCGAGATCTGGCCATTGCACTCCAGCCTGGGTGACACAGCAAGACTCCGTCTCAAAAAAAAAAAAAAAAAAAAAAGACATTCACCCTAAGCTAAGGTCTAAGGTGGTGTTTGCTTATGGAAAATGTGAGCTGGGCCTGGGGCCAAGTAACACATTCCACCCACTAGACTTTCCTCTCAGTCCCTGCCTAAGAAGTTAGGTTTTTCAATGTTTGGTAATGACCTGCCTGAAAGATAAATTCTGAATGTTGCTAATTAGAATGGAGTTTGAGGAGTGTGAGACATTTTTGTTTGGTTTGATCTGGTTTGTATTTTGAAAAGAAAGGCATTAGGGCCAGGGCAAGAGCACCAATCCCAGAGTGAAGAGTCCTTGGCTGATAGTTATTTTAGTACATTCAAATATGGGTTTCCATTCTAGCTAATTCTGCAAGACTCAAAAAAAAAAAAGAAAGAAAAGAAAGAAAAAGGAAAACATACATGTTTCCAAGTTCTAGGACTACTTAACCCTTTCAGGCTAATACCTTTCTGAAGGCAAAGTCCATTTCTCTGTCAGTGTTTTCAACTCTATAGATAGTACTCTCCTTTTACTATTTATTTTATATTATTATTCCTGGTACTGAACAGACAGAAAGTACTTAGGAAAATCCTGGAAGTCCCAGAATGATATTCATAAGGCAACTCCTAGAGTTCAATAGCCTACAAATGAAGTTAAATATATTAAATATATTTTATATGAGCGTGATATAATAATGCTCCAAAAAATCATACACTCCAAAAAATGGCAGAATGGCAGCAAACATAACTGCATATTTATTTATGCTTTTTTTTTTTTGAGACATGGTCTCACTCTGTCTCCCAGACTGGAGTGCAGTGGCGTGATCACAGCTTATTGCAGCCTCAAACTCCCTGGGCTCAGGTGATCCTCCCACCTCAGCCTCCCAATAGGTGGGACCACGGGCATGTGCCACCATGCATGGCTAATAATTATATTTTTTGTAGACACAGGGTTTTGCCATGCTCCCTTGGCTGGTCTCAAACTCCTGAGCTCAAGCAATCTGCCTGCCACAGCCTCCCAAAGTGCTGAGATTCAGGTGTGAACCACTGCATTCAGCCTATTTACACATTTTCTATGTAAGATGAATTTAAACTGGATAAAATTATCTCTGATGTGAAATAAGTCAGAATAATTGCATTATAAACACTAAAGTTAAAAAAGCATAATTTATTTCTATCATTGAAATACCATTGAAAAATTAAATAACAGTATTTAAATACCAGGAACCAACCATACCATTCAAGCAATATTTCCTGAAAATTCATTAGGGATACTGTAAAAGTATAAGACATAGCCCCTGTCCTTAAGGACCTTTGTTAAAATTTATGTGAGGTAAGACAGATACAAAGCATCATCACTGTTATTTTTACTAAGAGAAGTAGTATGGTGAAGTGGAAAATAATACAGGCTTTTAAACTTTAGGTGTAGATCCATATTTTTAGTTCTGCCATCCCATTAATGTATGATCTCTGCAAAGATATTTAACTGCTCCTAGCCTCAATTTCTTTAATTCTACAGTGGGGATAAGGATGCTAATTTTTTTTTTTTTTTTTTTTTTTTAGAAAGAGTCTCACTCTTTTGCCCAGGCTGGGGTGCAGTGGCACTATATCGGCTCACTGCTACCTCTGCCTCTGGAACTCAAGTGATCATCCCACCTCAGCCTCCCAGGTAGCAGGGACTACAGGCACATGCCACGATGCCTGGCTAATTTTTGTATTTTTTGTAAAGACAGGGTTTTGCCATGTTGCCCAGGCTGGTCTCAAACTCCTGAACTCAAGTGATCCACCTGCCTCAGCCTCCCAAAATACTGGGATTACAGGCATGAGCCACCGTGCCTCACCAGGATGCTAAATTTAAAGAACTGGTTTTTAGCCAGGCGTGGTGGCAAGACCCTGTAATCGCAGCTACTCGGGAGACTGAGACAGGAGAATTGCTTGAACCTGGGAGGCGGAGGTTGCAGTGAGCCGAGATTGTGCCACTGTACTCCAGCCTGGGTGACAGAGTGAGAGCCTCTCTAAAAAAAAGAAAAAAAAGAACTGGTTTTGTTTTGTTTAGTTTTCTTTAGAGATGGGGATTTCACTATGTTGCCCAGGATGGTCTATGAACTCCTGGGCCCAAGCGATCCTCCCCCATCAGCCTCCCAAAATGCTGGCCTGAGACACTGTGCCCGTCCAGGACAGTTGCAGGAATTAAACTGCAATATGGATGCAAATACGTAAGTAAATGCTTGATATGTGTCAGGTGTTCGAAAAATATTAGTTTATTCCCCAACTGAATTGAAAGGATTGAATATTTTCTAACTCGTTTCTACTTATTGATAAATAATAGTTTTATTATTGGTGAATTTTAAAATTGAAGTTAGCTAAAACTGCAATCATTTTAACAACCAAAATTTTAATTTTCTCAATACTAAAACTCAATTCCCCGCCAGGCCTGCCAGACACCTGCGCCGGCCCGCAGCCACCGCGGCAGCTGCCAGCGTGTGTGGCCCAGACATCCAGACGCCGTCTGCCATCCAGATCTGCAGGATCATGCGGCCAGATGACGCCAGTGTGGTCCGCAATGTCTAGGGGTGACCATCTTGAAGATGATCGAGGAGGTGGGCGCCATCATCAGCACCTGGCATTGCAACAGCCAGAACAGGGACCGCTGTGTGGCCACTCTGGCACGGGTCGAGCACACCGACTTCCTGTGGCCCATGTGCATCGGTGAGGTGGCCCACATCAGCGCGGAGATCACCTACACTTCCAAGCACTCAGTGGAGGTGCAGGTCAACGTGATGTCCGAAAACATCCTTACAGGTACCAAAAAGCTGACCAATAAGGCCACCCTCTGGTATGTGCCCCTGTCGCTGAAGAACGTGGACAAGGTCCTCGAAGTGCCTCCTGTTGTGTATTCCCGGCAGGAGCAGGAGGAGGAGGGCCGGAAGCGGTACAAAACCCAGAAGCTGGAGCGCATGGAGACCAAGTGGAGGAACCAGGACGTCGTCCAGCCAGTCCTCAACCCAGAGCCGAACACTGTCAGCTACAGCCAGTCCAGCTTGATCCACCTGGTGGGGCCTTCAGACTGTACCCTGCACAGCTTCGTGCATGAAGGCGTGACCATGAAGCTCACGGACGAGGTCGTCGGGATCGTGGCTGCACGCCACTGCAAGACCAACCTCGTCACAGCTTCCGTGAACGCCATTAATTTTCACGACAAGATCAGAAAAGACTGCATCAAGACCATCTCCGGACGCATGGCCTTCACGAGCAATAAATCCGTAGAAATAGAGGTCTTGGTGGACGCCAACTCTGTTGCGGACAGCTCCCAGAAGCGCTACCGGGCCGCCAGTGTCTTCACCTGTGTCACTGAGCCAGGAGGGTGGGTCGCTGCCCATGCCCCAGCGCTTGCCCGAGACCCAGGATGAGAAGAAGCGCTTTGAAGCCTGACTCAGTGGCTCAAGTCTGTAATCCCAGCACTTTGGGAGGCTGAGGCAGGCGAATCATCTGAGGTTGGAAGTTCAGACCAGCCTGCTCAACGTGGTGAAACCCCGTCTCTACTAAAAATACAAAAACTTGGCCGGGCGTGATAGTGATGGTGCACGCCTGTAATCCCAGCTACTCAGGAGGCTGGGTCAGGAGAATCTCTTGAACCCGGAGGCGGAAGTTGCAGGGAGCACTCCAGCCTGGGCAACAGAAGCGAAACTCTGTCTCAAAAAAAAAAAAAAAAGAGAGAAGGAGGAACAGCAAGAAGAAGGAGAGAGAGAAGCGCTTAGAGGAAGGCAAAGGGCGGTACCTGCCGATGAAGGCGAAGTGGCAGGGCCACTTGGAGCCTCAGCCCTAGACGCCCTCCTCCTGCCGCTGGGGCCTTGAGTAGATGTGGCAACAGGCCCAGTGTCCAGTCACATAGAAGTTACCCCTTTGGCCAAAAACCCAATTCACATTGAGAACTGGTGTTGTCTGAATTTTTCGTATCATAGTATTAACCTGTACTCTCTCCTGCAAACCTACACACCAAAGCTTTATTTCTATCATTCCAGTGTCAAAGCTACACAGTGTTGTCCCGAGCGCTGGGAGGCATTCTGTGGAAACCCTGGGGAATGCTTCCCAGCACACTGCAAGGTATGGGAAGAACCCAGCACCACTAATAAAGCTGCTGCTTGGCTGGGAAAAAAAAAAAAAAATTCTACCGGGCGCGGTGGCTCACGCCTGTAATCCCAGCACTTTGAGAGGCTGAGGCAGGCGGATCACTTGAGGTCAGGAGTTCCAGACCAGCCTAGCCAACATGGCAAAACCCATCTCTACTAAAAATACAAAACTTAACTGGGTGTGGTGGCGGGCGCCTGTAATCCCAGCTACTCGGGAGGCTGAGGCAGGACAATCTCTTGAACCTGGGAGGCAGAGGTTGCACTGAGCCGAGATCACGCTACTGCACTCCAGCCTGGGCAACAAGAGCGAAACTCTGTCTCAAAACAAAAAAAAAAAGAAAAAACTAGAACTCAAATATCCAGGATTTTTAATCAGGTAACTAATGTAGATAAGGGGAAAAAAAACTAAGAATATACTGATTTACCTGGAAAAATGTTATTTGTAATCCCAACTTGCTCTCCGAATGTAATAATATCACTGAACATCAGTGACTTTTTTTTTTTTTTGAGACATACTTTTGCTCTTGTTGCCCAGGCTGGAGTGCAATGGCACGATCTCAGCTCACTGCACCTCTGCCTCTCTGGTTCAAGCAATTATCCTGCCTCAACCTCCCGAGTAGCTGGGATTATAGGCGTCTGTCACTATGCCTGGCTAATTTTTTGTATTTTTAGTAGCGATGGGGTTTCACCATGTTGGTCAGGCTGGTCTCAAACCCCTGACCTCAGGTATTCCACCTGCCTCGGTCTCCTGAAGTGCTGGGATTATAGGCGTGAGCCACCGCACCCAGCAACTTTTTAATATATAAAACCATGCCTTGGGCCGGGCTCAGTGGCTCACCCTTCGAAACCAGTCTGACCAACATGGTGAAAACCCCAGCTCTACTAAAAATACAAAAATTAGCCATGCATGGTGGAGTGCGCCTGTAGTCCCAGCTACTCAGGAGACTGAGGCAGGAGAATCCCTTGAACCTGGGAGGCGGAGGTTGCAGTGAGCCGAGATTGAGCCACTGCACTCCAGCCTCAGCTGCAGAGCAAGACTCCGTCTCAAAACAACAACAACAACAAAAACTTGTTCCAAATCAGAAATCAATCATAATGTATACGATCATGTCAATGAGTTTTCTCTCTCTTTTTTTTTTTTTTTTGGCTAAATGCAAAATATAGAAGGATTTGGGCCTGGCGCAGTGGCTCACATCTGTAATCCCAGCACTTTGGGAGTCCAAGGTGGGCGGATCTCTTGAGGTCAGGAGTTTGAGAACAGCCTGGCCAACATGGCAAAACCCCATCTCTACTAGAAATACAAAAATTAGCTGGGCATGGTGGAGTGTACATGCAATCTCAGCTATTTGGGAGGCTGAGGCAGGAGAATCGCTTGAACTGAGCCAAGATGGCACCACTGCACTCCAGCCTGGGTGAAAGAGCAAGACTCTGTCTAAAAAAAAAAATATATATATATACACACACACACACACACACATATACATAGATATATATAGAAGGATTTGATCTGTATGGACCATAGAAAAGGGAAGTTAAATAACGGTATTTCTGCAGAAGTTAGCCAGCATCGATCAGTGTAGCCTTGCTCACTACACAGATTCTCCAGTCTCCTTCAGTGTGATTCAGTAAATATATATTCCTATAGTTTATGTTGAGGTCTTGAGGGCATCCAATAAAGGACATGGCTCTTCTCTGCCCAAATTGAGAATAAAGGGCAAGCATAAGGTAAATGTGAGGTCAGATATCACCTTGAACTGATAAGGATTAACTGGAGGATGCAGCTCATGAGAACCAAACTGACCTGTCACCTGAACCCCAGAATGATACACACTTACCTACCATGTTCCACAGGCAGCAAAGGCACACATTATGGCTTTCATGGGGCCATAGGCACTTCTGCTTTTTCCTTGGGCTCCCCTTCTTTTTCCTTCATTAAATATATATACTAAAAATTGTACATTATGGCTATACTGATATACATATATTAAAACATTTTTGAGCTACAAATTCACTTTTTTCTTCTTCTGTTTTTTCTTTTTTCTTTTTTTTTTTTTTTTTTCCATACAGGGTGTTGCCCAGGCCAGACTGTAGCACCAATATCTCGGCTCACTCCAGTTTAAGCCTCCTGGGCTCAAGGATCCTCCCACCTCAGCCTTCCGAGTAACTGGGACCAAAGGCACATGGCACCACACCCAGCCAATTTTTAAATTTTTTTGTAGATAAGGATACGGGGTCTCACTATATTGCCTAGGCTAGTCTCCAACTCCTGGGCTCAAGGGATCCTACGGCAGCAGCCTCCCAAAGTGCTGGGATTACAGGCTTGAGCCACCACACCCAGCCTCATTTTTTTTCTTCCGATTTTTAAGGAAATTAAAACATTTTCATGGACCCTAGGCACTGCCTGCTGTGCCTAAGGAAGAAGTTGGCTCTGAACAACACTGAACACACTGGCCCAAGTAAGGCTTAAATCCCAGAGGAAGTGTGTACTCTTGAGAGAAATGAGAAGAAATGAGGCAAGCATACCTAGGTTGTTCTTCCTGATTTAGCAATCAGATGAGTTACTCTCTGCCTTGGATTACAATGAATAAAGGGAAAGCAATGAGCGCATCATTCCAGCTCAACTCACATGAAAGAAAATAGCAGTAGAGAAAAAGCAACCCTCTCTTAGCAATTCTGTTCTTAAAGCTGAAATGATTGCATTTGGTTATCGTAATTAGATAACACTGGTCTTTTATGATTACCGATCTAATTCTTCTTGCTCCAGATTCCTGTTTACCAGAAAATCTGATTATAACTAGGCTTCCCATGTAGATTATCCTATAAGGAAAGAATATCTCAAGCAGGCTGGGGTGATGACTCACGCCTGTAATCCCAGCACTTTGGCAGGCCCAGGCAGGTGGTTCACTTGAGACCAGGAGTTCAAGACCAGCCTGGACAACATGGCAAAATCCTGTCTTTACCAAAAATACAAAACATTAGCTGGTATGGTGGCTTGAGCCTGTAGACCCAGCTACTAAGGAGGCCAAGGTAGGAGGATGGCTTGAGCCCAGGAGGTAGAGGTTACAGTGAGCTGAGATCGTACTGCACTCCAGCCTGGGTGACAGAGTGAGACCCTGTCTCAAAAACAAAACAAAAAATCTCAAGCAGCTGATAAAATATACAATCTGAATATACAATCTGCTGTCCGGTTACATTTCTCATTGTAAGATAGTAAATTAACATTCTGGTTTATATATTCTCACAAGAGACTGTTTGGCATGAGAATCCATGGATTCATTTAACTCATTTTCATATAACTGACTTGACCATGTTATTGAACTGAGAATGTTGAAGTTCAAAATCTAAACCATAATGACTTAATCCAAGGTACTACAACCCTAGAAGACTCTAAGTAGCCAGAAAGTTTGTATTAGCTGCAATTCAATTTTCCCATTTTCTAACCACAACACACCCCCCAGTCCTCACACCTTTCTTATAATCCTATGTCCTCAAATTAGCTGAGTGGGGCAGCCCGAGGGAGCAAAAAAGTAGGAAACACTCCAGCAAAATGTTTCTGATTTTTTCCTTTTTTTTTTTTTTGAGACAGAGTCTGGCACGATCTCGACTCACTGCAACCTCTGCCTCCTGGGTTCAAGCAATTCTTCTGCCTCAGCTTCCTGAGTAGCTGGGATTACAGGCACGCACCACCATGCCCAGCTAATTTTTGTATTTTTAGTACAGATGAGGTTTCGTCATATTGGCCAGTCTGGTCTCAAACTCCTGACCTCGTGATCCGCCCTCCTTGGCCTCCCAAAGTGTTGGGATTACAGGCATGAGCCACCGTGCCTGGCCCTTTAATTTTTTTTATTTGCTTTCTTTTCCCTCTCTCTCTTTTTTTGTTTTGTTTTGTTTTGTTTTTTGGAGACAGGGTCATTGCAGCCTAGACCTCCAGGACTCCTACTCCCTCTGGGATTCTCCCGCCTCAGCCTCCCGATTAGTTCATGCCACTAGGCCCAGCTGATTTGTTTTTATTATTTTTATTTTTATTAATTTTTTTTGTAGAGACAGGGTCTCACTATTTTGCCCAGACTGGTCTCAAATACCTGGGCTCAAGCAATCCTCCCACCTTGGTTTCCCAAAGTGCTGGGATTACAGGCATGAGCCACAGCACCTGAACTATTTTTCAGTTTTTCGAACTATTATTTTCTTTCTTTTTTTTTTTTTTTTTTTTTTTTTTGAGACGAGTTCGCTCTGTCGCCAGGTGGAGTGCAGTGGCAGTCTGGCTCACTGCAAGCTCCGCCTCCGGGTTCACGCCATTCTCCTGCCTCAGCCTCCTGAGTAGCTGGGACTACAGGCGCCGCCACCCGCCGGCTATTTTTTTGTATTTTTAG